CTGTGCACCTGTGCTCACAATGCTGGCATGTACGACAACACACACACACACACACACACGGGCATACACACACACACACACACGGGCACACACAGACATACACCAGCACACACATACACACACAAGCACACACACACACGGGCACACACACACAAACGGGCATACACAGACATAGGCACACACACATGGGCACACACACACACAGGACACACACAGTGCACACACCCGGGCACACATACAGACACGCACACACACATGCACATGGGCACATGTCCAATCTTTACCTCTGAAAAAGAAAACTGCAAACAAGCAAACAGCAATAACAAAAATACAACCCTCTCCTCAAACCCATTATCCCCAAATTCCCAAACTATTTACAATAATAGCATGCCACATGAACAAAAGATAGGGAGGAGTTGGTTCCTAGTGGGTTTTAAATTACATGAAGAAAAGTAATACTTGCATGGATTATCACAAATACCATAGTATGTTATTTAAAGTATTACATAATATTTTACACAAGTATTTTGAGATATACAGGCAAATAATATGCAGACGAAACTATCAAAAATACTTACAGGCTTCTAGACATAGGGTAATCTTGTCATACATAAAACTTTAAACGACAGCAAAGACCACTCAGACCAATGAAAAGGAGTTGAACAAAACTTCCCAAATTTAAAACATGCCTGCATTTACCACAGCTAACAGAATATTAATGTAAACAGTTCCATTTAAGAATCGCAGTACCTCACTGGTTGTTCACAAGCGATTATAATATTTAAAAAAATCACAGCAACTTAATTTATTTTTTGTCTTTGTTGTTGTCAGCTCCTTTGGCTTTTTGGTAGACAAATACTGACTTAAATACCGACGGAGGCCCTCAGAAGGGATACAATAATTCCTCTCGTGCGTGCGTGCGTGCATGCGTGCGTGTGTGCGTGCATGTGTGCGTGCTTCAGAGTTTGGTTCATAAAACACTGAAAGAATGAGTGTGTGTATTTTTTGAGAGATGGTTTCAACAAAGAAAATGAATAAACACTATGTTTCAAGCACTGTTTTGAGCAGTGACTGAACTTTCAAATATCCATTTAAGGTAAGTATCATCCATCCCAATTTACTATCAGGATAACGGGGGGTGGGGGGCTCAGAGACACTGGAGTCCTCACTGATGTAACACTGGGGACAGGATTAGTGTGGTAGAGTATTAGAAGGTGTGTGACTTTCATTTATGCTGCACTTGGTTAACGCAGAGAAGCTGTGATTCTTTCCCTGTCTCAAACACCTGATGGTCCTAATAAAGAGCTGAGCGTCCACCAGCAAGGTTAGGTGGGGCTGGCAGGCAGAGGCTATGAATAGGAGACATGGGGAAGGAGGGAAGAAGGACAGCGCCAGGCCGGACACCCGGCTGCCCATCCAGCCAGAGTGGAGTAAGAGATATGAAAGTAAGAAAGACAAAAGCCCAGAGGCAAAAGGTAGATGGGGTAAGTTAAGAAAAACTGGCTAAGCTAAGGCTGGTCGTTCCTAAGAATAAGCCTTCATGTGTGATTTGAGAGATGGGTGGTTGACCCCTCAGAAAGACTGAAGAACCAAACCAGCAAAACAGCGTAGAACAGATCAGTGCCTGAGGCGTACATCTCCTGGGCTTATGAACTTGTTTTTCTTTATCTTCACATTTTTGAGGCAAGACTGCCACAGAGTTGCCCAAACTAGTTATGAAGTGGCGATCTTCTTGCATCAGCCACCCAAAATGCTTTTAGTTTCAATGGTGGCTCTGCTGTCTCTGAACCAATCACCCGGTCTTTAACATATGAGCGTGCAGTCTGGATCTAGGCAGGGCAACGGCAGATGATGCATTCAGGCACACGGAGAACCCTTCTCTTTTTAAGTCCATTCGCTTTTAACGGTGGCTCTGCTGTCTCTGAACCACTACCCAGTTCCAGCCAGGGAATATCAGAGGCAGAGCCCTAAGTGTCTGTGGCATTTTCAAGGATCATTAAGGGACTCAGTGTTTCACTAGAATAGGAGATAAGTATGCTTCATCACAGAACAATAGACTATGGGCTGCACAGATGACAGGCAAAGAAAGATGGGGCTTGAGAAGTGACTGGTATTTAGCAACATGGGGACATTCAGGCTTCTGCAAAGGGTGGTCTGCTCAGGTGGGGTAAATGAAATAGAGCAGAATATATTTAAGGGAAATAGAAAAGTAACAGCAGTAAAATAGTTTGTTTATTATTATTATTATTATTCTTGTTGTTGTAAAGGAAAGGAAACACTAAGACCACAATCGACTGGGCAGATGACCAACAAGGAAAATATGGTCCAGAGAGGACTTTTCGTGTAATAGGGTGTGGCCATTTAGGAATTCATAAAGTGGTTGAGGAGTAGGGGGAAACGTCATTTTACTATGACTATCATGAAAAGCTATTGACTACAGTTTAAGTACTATGGAAGGAAAGAGGAGGCGAGAAGACATGCAAACTCCAGTGTGGAAATTGAAGGCCACTTCGGAGTTCATCTGCTGCATGTTCTAGGGGAAAGTGGTGGCAGTAATGGGTAAGAGAATACAGCTGGTAGGTAAATGGGTTCAAAAAGCAAAGTTACACAGGAATGCAATAATCTAGTGCAGCCAGGCTGCATGGGCAGATAGCTACTCACAGACCAAAGAATGATCTTAGTGGAACGGATATTTGAATGAGACAATGAGTATCTTTTAGTTTGGGTATATAAAGGTGAAGAATTATCAAACATTTCAACAATCTAGAAAAATGCAATGACTCTCTGAACAAAAAATGATAGGAAATTAAGGGCAGATTAAAAGAGAGCCCTCTGTGAGACTGTGAGAATAAAGCATGGCCAGCATGCTAAGGAGGAATTGTATTGTCTTTTAATAAAACGGAATCACTAGGTCTAATTAAAATTCTACTCAAGGCAATCCACCACCACCCACTTGCTTTTTCAAAACTACAACCATAAGAGTAGGGCAGCAGGCACGCAGCACTCTCTAGCCACAGCAAAATGGATTTCTAGGACACAATGAAGCAGATGTACGCTAAATTAATAAAAACAAACACGAAAAGAACAGACATGTTCAGAAGCTCAGTTTCTCCAACATCATGGAAGGGCCATGATCTTGTACCTTTTCCATGCTAACACACATTGAAGACTTCAAATATTATTTACGAGTCCCTCCCATTTTGTAAAATCTTTACATTTCATTTCATGGCGCTTTTAATTTTAGCTTGACCACACATTACAGATTAAAAGATCTGCTGTAATTTTGTGAGAAAGTTTCAAAGATCTGGGTTTTCATTTTACTATTTGGTCAGACTGGAAAAAAAAAAAAACTAAAATAAAACTCAGCAACAAATAATTACAATAGAAAAAAATTTCTTATAATAGGTGGGTATGGTTCTTATCACAGATTAGAATCAAATGGGTAAGGCACTAATGATGCAGTTCAGCAGTAAAATATTTTCCTAGTATGCTTGGGTTTGTCCCCAGTACAGCAAAAAATAAGGACAGTAGAGTAGCTAATAACTGTTGGGAAATGGTGTAAATTCTGATTATTATACCGGTGGGAGAAAAGGGATGCAATTCATCAGGGCTGGGTAGCTTGGTAGGAAGATGTCAAGCTTCTCATGTGGTTTCTACAAGACTAAGTTGTTAGTGATAGGGTATGATAGGGTTCTTCTTAACAAGGAACATTAGAGTGCCAGTTTTCTATTCAGTCTTAACTGGCAGGACCCTACCATGCTGAAGAGAGGTAGAAGGAGTCTAAGAGCCAAAGAGTAGATAACTCCAAGAAAACAGTGTCTTCTGTATACATCAGTGCAGCTGCACATATGACCTCAAAGCAGTAGTTAAGGTATGCACAAGACCATGCAAGCCCAAGCCAGATCAAATCGCAGTCTGGAGAGGGGAGGTGAGCACAAAGTCCCACTAATGGGGGGAGCTATTAGCACTTGTGAAGGGCTGGGAAAGGAAGGGTCAGGTGGTGTAGTCTCTGCCTGGTAAGTCAAACACACTCCAGTAGAAGAACACACATCCAAGAATATTGGGGCAGCACAAATTACCCTTATTTTTTGGGTGGGACTGGTGGGGATACAAAGGCAAAAACTTGGGTGTGGAGGGAAGGGAGATAAATCTGGGAAGAGTGGGGGAAAGGATTGCACATGCTGAAAATTCATTGTTGCTCTTCCAAACACTGAGAAAGTATACCTTCCAAACCCCAGCTCCCAGTTTTCCTCACTGGATAGTTCCCTACTATTCCACAGAGTTCGAAAACATGTCACAAGACGCCTTGTCCAATTTAAAGTCCACTCAGGGGATGCTTGCAAACCTGGGAGTTTGCACTCAAAAGTCTGTTTGGAGACTCAGTTTGAGCACAGTAGGAGCACGCACTCCTTGGGTTTGCAACGGATCCTTATGCCACTTCTGATGTCAGTGTGGGTCAGGGTCAAGGGAGATGGAAATTTCGGCTTTAGTTATAGTGCTTCAGGGGAAGGATTATCCAACCCCTTTAACAGAACAAGCAGTTATTAATGGAGGGAAGGACCACCATTGACTCACTTTCAGATGATTGCCACACTTGCTTTACTTTCACGGCCACATTTTCAGCTTCCAGAAAACCACTGAGGCTGCACTATATTCCACTGTTACAGATGATGAAATGTCCCAGAGTTACTGACATCCCCGTTTCTCTTTGTTTGGGCCAATTCTTGGCCACACTTATTATCCTTAAGTAATTATTAATAAACACCATGTTCTCTCTCTCAGAAAAAAAAATGTTTCTTTTTTTCAAAAAATACATGAACAAAAACTAATCATAATTTATTCTGCATAAGTTTATGCAAATATTAAAAATTCACCTAACAATATAACACAGTTATTTATCTACTCATTACTCGACTGCTATTTAATGAAAGACATTTCATGACCTAGGAAAACTATCTACCTCTGGGACCCAGCATAATTACAAAGTAAAATTCTCATACCATTTGGTGATGCCATAATAATCTTTAATGATATTCTGAAGAACAGCACGATAGAAGAGCGATTCAGTGGGCAGCTGAAAAAAAAAAAAGAAAAAGAAAAAGAAAGAAGATGTACATATATATGTATGCGAATAGTAAATACATGAAACCCAGAAACAAAATTAATACGGAAGACTTGGGAACTTGTAAATGTTATAACCTGACTTTGTTGTTAAAAAAAAGAGTAGGATTTTTATAGTTTTTCCACTGTAAACTAAAGGATTACCCAGAGACTAACTCTCACTGAGAAAGTAATTCTGAAACAAAACAAGAAACCATAGAAGGAATAGCATTAAGTGGGGGAATAAAAGTCATAATCAATAAAAAGTAAGCTATTGCCCCAAGTGGATGAGGTATCACCGAAGAGGGATGAACTTTGGAGTCTATCCACAGCATCTCTGAGTCCAGCAGAGTCAGGAAGGACATGTGTGAAAGAGAGTGTCATGAGGCCCTTTCCTAATGGGGATGGACTAGAGATAGCACCCAGGACCCACACTGTGAAAGACAGTGCCCATGTGGAATGTTTTAAATCATATGTCCGAAGCATGACAGGTCACAGCACCACAGTGTTGAAGAGTAGAGGTAAATGGGACAAAGGAACTGGAGACGCTGCTTGGAGGAGAAAACCAGAAGAGTCTATGAATGATCCAAGTTTTATTTTATTTTTTAAATTATATTCAAGTACAGGTCGTCTGCATTCAGACATGTGTACACATGCCCACAGAGGCCCGGGGGTGTTGAAAACCCTGGAGCTAGAGTTATAGGAGGCTGTGAGCTGTCTAACACGGACACTGGGAACTGAACTTAAACAAACAAAACTATAAAAGCTACCAAAATGCCACTTTACCTCAAGAGAGTTCATGATACTGACATGGAACAGGAACAAAGGAAAATAATCCTAGCAACAAGCCAGCATCCATGGAAAATTATTATTTTAAAAAGAGAAAAATATAAGCAAAGATTAAGGAAGGCCAAGGATAATGCATGCTTTTGAGATGGCAAATAACATAAAAACTGATTGCCCAATGTCTGGTCAAGTTTTATGGATAGATTTCAGTGGGATGAATATTTTACTGACTTAGTCTTTTCAAGCTCTGTTTTTCTGTAAAGTGACAGTGTAGTTTTATTTTCTCTGGATGCATGTGTGTGTTCTTGTGTGGATGTGTGTGTGTGTGTGTGTGTGTGTGTGTGTGTATACAGTGGGCAAGCTGGGATGATTTTCCTCAGGAAAAGCCCATGTCTACATTTCTTGTCAAAACAGGGTCTCTTGCTAGTGAATAGCTCCCCAAGTCGACTGGCTGGCTAGCTGGCAAGAGCCAGGGGCTGTCTCTGCCTTGCCAGGGCTGGGATTAAAAGTGCCTTACCTACTTGTTAACATGGGGTTTGATTTCAGATTATCTGGCTTGCAGCGCCAGAACTTTATAAATTAAATTATCTTCCCAGCTTCATTTTTTAAAGTCTATTTTTAACTGGAATAATTATGTTTGGATTCTGTACGAGGCAAACACTAAATAAAATTTTATCTTTGTTTTAAGGCAGAAAAAGTACAAAACATTGGAACCAAAACCAATCACCATTCCCAAGTTACCCTGAGCAAATAAAAGCTTAACAGGTGTTTCTCGAGAGAAAGGGAAGTGAATTATAAAATGCCTTCAAATATCCACTCTTGGAATAACTAGGCTCATCCATGTGGTGAATAGAATGGGGTGGGGGGTGAGGGGGGATGGCACAAGCAGCCTGTGCCTGACTGTTTCAGGTGTAAACTGGGTGTGGCTTAGAATTGATTATCCTTCCCTCACAAGTGATAAAGTCACTTAACACTTTTAATGTATTTAACACCAGGAAAACACAGGGTATACCCCGATGCATGTATTATGCACGTGAAGTACAGGACTATGGCAAAGGGTACAAGCTACAAATCACTTTTATGCAATTAATTTAGGGAGCTGGACTATATCATTAAACTCCTGCTGCAAATCGTGTTCTTATGTAAGGCTAAAATAATACCCAACTCCTCAGACTGAATGGAAGCATGAGCAATATCTGGAAAATTTAAAAACGACCACAACTAATGGATACCAACAAGATAAAGGTTTCTCACTTTCCCAGGGGCCTAGGGAGCCACTAAGGAAGCATGTACTACAGATGTTAAGGATGTCTAGTGTGAAATAGAGATTGAAATTCTAGAATTTGTTATCTTACAGTTGCCTCCTGTATATCAGGGCATAATAGTCAAAAATAACTCACAGTCCTATGTATTCATTACCACAATTGACAAGAAGTTTTGACACTGGTTTACAAAGCTCTATATGAGACTTAACTATTACTTTTTAGATAATAATTATTATTGCTGAAGACGGTTCTGTTAGCATTCAGGCGTCTGTACCGGCCGCCCTTGGGGTTCTGACAGGATACATCCTCAGCTGCAGCCACTAAGAGCATCACCTGTGCACATTCACTACATTGTTTTAAAGGGCCCTGCCCACCCCCGTCCTCCTCCTCTCCCTCTCTCCCCCTCTTTCTTTGCTCCCTCGTTCCTCTCTCCCACTGCTCCTGTCCCTGGATGTTGGTCTCCCACATCTCCTTTCCCTAACAAAAACCCGTCCACTTGAACTCTGTCACATGGCCTCTTTCTCTCTCATGCCACTTTTTACAATTACAACAGATTGGCTTTCTTGTTGTTGTTGCTTTGTTTTTTGAGACAGGGTTTCTCTGTGCAGCTTTGGCTGTCCTGGAACTCACTGTAGACCAAGCTAGCCTTGAACTCGCAGAGATCTGCCTGCCTCTGCCTCCTGAGCGCTGGAATCAAAGGGGTGCAACCCTCATTGCCTGGCAACTGTTGACATTTACTGAGCACTCTGTATTCATGTTAAGCATTTTACCTGTTTCACTCACTTTGCTCACCATGATACACCTTAGACAGGCACAATTAATACATGGGGGGATAAAAGGCAACTGCTACCACCACCAAAGTACTTATCAGGGTAACTGGCCTAGAGGAAGTAATGCTTGTTATTGCAATTATTATCTTAAATAAGTCAACATTAACATTCCTTAAAAAATGAAACAATAGATTTTTTTAAACTTAGGTTCAGCAGGATAATTTTATGAAAATGTTCAAAACTGCTTTTAAAAATGTATAAGTTTCATGAATACATGGTAATAATATACTGTATGGATATTTAGGATGTATCAAACTTGTAGTTATACTTTCAAGCCTGTTTAGCTATTTCAACTAAGGACTAATTAAATTGAAAAAGGTATCAAATAACCAAATGAAATGTGTTTTCGATTACACATTTCGATTAACATTGCCCTGTTAATGCCATTTTCTTTGCTTGAACTGACCCCATTAAAGCCTGATGGTCAGCTACAACGTTTGTTAGGAATACTTACAGATTGTTAATACAATAATGAAGAAATGTGAGGTTGGTGGAGGAGAATAATGTGGAAACTTTCTTCCAACCTCAATGTATCTATCGTTCCGAAAGTTCACTTTAAACACTCAGAGCGTGTGTACACTTGCACGAGCATCAGTGACAAGCGGAGGTGATATTTATTAAAATCCACCGGGTTTCAAGTTCAACAGCAGGTCAAGTCTGAAGAGGGCTTGAGAGAAAAACTATCTTGTTCATTAGCTACATTAAACACTCTGACTTACCCCTTGGCCAACTGCAACCCGTTCCAATGCCTTAAAGGAGAAAGAAACAAGACAAAGATTGCTGATGTATTTTTAGTCTTATGAGATTTATAAATCTACTCTGTAAGAATTTGCAATAGTGACAATCAAAAAGATTAATGAAGTGATTACATGTAAGTTTACATAGTTAAAAGTATCAATATTATTAAAGAATGTTAGCTCATACGAATATAAATTAGGACTAATTTATAATGGGAAAGTGTCATACATAAAAATACAAATCATGTTCTGATTATAAACTACATGAATAGTGCAGAAGAAATTAGAAAGCAGCAAGAAATAAAAACGGCAGTCGGACCCATGTTCACTATTGCCCTTATGTACCATACAGACATAGATGTGTTTTTAAACTTCTTCTTAACATCCTGCAGTTTGTGGGGCATGTGATTTCATCTCTAAGTTTTACTCTGGTGTTGGGAACTAAACCCAGGTTCTTGTACTTAACTACACAGGTGCTCCATCAGTAAGCAAACTCCCGACCTCTTAGTTGCATCTTTGAGCAAGCAAACAGGAACAGACTGTGTAGGTGGAAGAGTGTTTCAGGGGAAAACATGATCTGCATGTTGTGTGAATTCGAAGCCTATTCTCATCTGATCTAGCATCACAAGGAACAGAACGGGCTACAGCACACAGTGTCTGCATGCTCTGAATGCTTGTTGGGTGATGGCACTAGGCACTATTTGGGGAGGCTGTAGAGCATTTAAGAGGCAGTCTATTTGGAATCACAGCATAAGCAAAAACAGTAAAGTTAAATTTGAGGCTGTTTTTTTTTTTTTTTTTAAACTTTAGGTATGGTTATTTAGCAGAACACAGGAAAGCAAGAAACTGTGTCAGACTTATACTAAATTAAGGATATTGAGTTATGTTACTAATATATGCAACTTTAATTTTGTTTAACACTACCTGCCAAAATATATTTTATTCCCTGTAACTTAAAAAAAAAAGAGAGAGAGGCAGTCTAGCTGGTGGGAACTGGTTACTAGTGGGGAACTGGTGATGGCTTCTGCTTCCTAACGTGTGGTGGCATGCATACTATGCTCTTGCCGCCATGACCTAGGCTGCCTCACCCTGACTTCCCTGTCTTACAGTTACTGTTAGTTACTACAGTGATATAACTGTAACTAATAGAACACTATAACAATTTTATGGTATTGATTTTACAGTTAAACTTAAAGAACACAGACATTTCATATAGTACTTCCTAACATTTCTAATAATCATGTTGAACATATGATACTTACTATATAATTTATAAATGGAATAGGCCTTTATAAATTTCTTCATTTCTTAGACATACATTTCCAGATTTATTGGATACTAAGTACTTAATGAAGATCATGTTTTTAAATGTTAATTAGGAAACATTCCAAACATAAGGTAGATAAAGTATAATTGATCTGTGTAACCTTGATACTCAAATTTTAAATATCTGTGTTTTGCTTCAGGTTTCTAGGTTTCCACAAATTTTTAAGTGATAGCTGAAACAAACACTTTTTGAATTAAAGTGTAATCTACAAACTAACTTTTCTAAACGCCGTGTCCAATGTATAAGATGGTTGACATGATCAGTAGCTTCCCAGGAACTATGTGGCTAGGTAGCAAATGATCATGGGCTGAATCTTGTTCTTTGACTCTTGATTTATAACTTTTTTTCTCATGTCTTGGCGGGTGTGCTTCAGTGAACATCACAGAACAAATGCATATCAAGTTAACCCTAAAGTCTACTTCAATGTCTTGCCTTTAGGGAATAGGCCTGGCTAGCAGCGTTCCGTTAGAGTCATCCTCACTCTAACAATCTTCTGAGCATGTCCCATTCACACACAGCATGAAGGAAGAGGGATTTCCAGGGAAGTACATTAAGCATGCCACATAAGAAAATGATTATTTGGGAACAAATAGATTTCTAAGCTATTCCTAGGACACAAACTCTTTGCAGCTACATATAAGCACATAGTAGTAGACTAGTAACTTAGAAACAATGAGCTTTGAAAGAATTCATTTATCTAAGATTGGACAGTAAACAAATTATTCAATGAACTGTATGTTATTTTTAAAAAGTTACTCTATGTTTAAGTAAACATGTTGTGGTGTCTGCATATACACAGTGGGATGATTAACACAGGTAAGCAATTTCCTATGTCCATTATCATTTTCTTTTTAAGTGTATGTATTGTCAGAATAATTACGTACATAATAGCATATTAATTATAGTCTTGTTCTATCATTTAGTTTTCTAGATTCATTCTTCCAAACTAACTACAACATTTAAGCTTTCTGATAATTATTCACTTGTGATATTTAGCTTGCTCTTTTGTAGACTAATATGGTATCATGAACAAAAAATGCCAACGGCTAAAGTGTTCTACATTTAGGAACACCAGTCAAATCAAACAAAATAAAGTTTTTGACTAGTTAGTTCATATCTCACAGATTGTTTCCTATCCTATAAGGAAATTAGAAGGTGAAACAACTTTTACAAATATATAAAGATACTGCCAAGCTATGTATAAAACATTGAACTGATTCTGTGTTTAAGACCTGGCAGTTGATACGCTTCATAAACTTTCCTATGATGCTGCGTGTAAAATGGGTGATTGAATACCTTTATCATTATTGTTTTTACACTCACAATGTTCAAAAGCATTAATGGGATGCTTTGTTAAAATTTGGCATTTAACATAATCTAGCTAAGAATAATGAACTGCATAGCGTCTGGATAAAGCTCTCGAGTTTTCTAGAATGCACAGGCATACCAAGCACGCTGACATCCTTGCATTACGGCCACAACACCATCTCTCCTCTTTCAGATAGCGGCACATTGGAAATCCCCAGTTTTCTTGGGCATATTCTGCAGATGGGAAAAATGAGGGCTCGTCAAATAAAATCCTTCCTCTTCCAGTTACAATAAATAATCTATTGAGAGAGCAGATTAGTCATTGAGGAAGTCAACAGTGATGAGATGAGCTGGTGACAAGATGTTTAATAGTGCATTCCAGTGTGCTAAATGGCAGCTTGTAAATGTTATCAAATATGTTTGCTCAGCAACAGCCACCTTGTGTTTAAGCTCCAGGTCTGATATTAGCCAATTTGCCAAAAACTATTTATGTAAGATTTAGCAAAAGCCACTTAAAATTCAACAGTCTTCCTGTTTAGTGTAACCATAGGAGACAACTAATAACACACTGGACATTTATTGCCGACCTAACCTTCTAAAATGAAAAAGAAAATTTAGCAGCTGGCAGTTTATTAAAGAAAGGACAGCTTCATCCCTAACAATACTGAAGCACCGTCTTTCTTGTCACTGTGGTCACCCCTCTGGAATGGAACAGCTGTACGGACTCTTAGTATTTTCACTGTTTGAAGAGACTGTAATGTTTTTCCTCTACACTCCTATTTGGCGCAACTGCATTTATGACTCAAATAATGACAACCAAAATCATAATTCAGACTTAAATAACTTGCTAATGCTAAAATACCTTACACGGATATATTGAATCCAATATACTCTCGGGAAAGCAAAGAAACCACTTAAATTTTAAATTGAGGTCTCTGAAATAGATATCAATGTTATTACAATTATGACAAATAATTGAAAATTGAGATAAATACACATTATTGTTAGAATTAAGAAAAACATACTACCTTGAAAAACTCCTGAAAAGAGAATACAACTGAGGTATATTCTACTAAGAAAAAACTGTACTAAGAAGGATTGGGTGACTTTTCATTAAAAGAAATAAAGTTTTCATTTTATGCAGACCATATATCATTGAAGTATTACATTAAAATTTAGAATACACCCTACCAAAAGCCAGATACAGGGAACAAGGCAGGCTTGTTCCCTACCTTCAGAATTGGGTATTCATAATTCTAATACTGATTCTAGTATTGATATGGCATTCAATACTGTGAAATACTATGCTAAGTGCTTTAAATGTACTAATCTAGTTTATATCTCTGATGCAGTTCTATGAACTAAGTACACTATAATCCCTCTGTTTCAGATAGGAAAACTGGACACAAGCAAGTTAAGAAAACACTCTCACATGGGCAGTCTTACTCCAGAGTGCATGCTTTCAGTTATCAAGCTGACATTAAACATTCATAATCCATCCCACTTACAATTAGAGTGTTCACGGAGCCCCTGAAGTCTACCAGGACTGCCGGGTCCCTGAGCCACTGCTATTTTCAAGATGACCCCAAAAACCATTTGAGTGTTGCTGAAGGTTTTAGGACCTGACTGAGACATAATTCTTGCTTAATGAAAGAACTGCCATAGATAGCCAGGTATTACTGCAAAGGTGAAGTACTAGAGAGCAGGTAAGCGTGGTAAGAATAAAACACTCACCAAATAAAAGCTACTCCTGTCCTTTCCTTGTTCTTTGTTCTCAGAGGGGGGTCTCACTGTTGAGACTGGACTGAAATTTCCAGTTTTCCACAGAGTTGCTAGAAAAGCTAGCTACAGGACTATGCTTTGGCCAGCTGGATGTGTGCAGAAACAATGGATGTGAACTCTTACTCTAAATGTGGTGGACATTTTCTAGTTCTCTAGTTGAATGTGATGACTGTGGTAGACCAACTACCTTTGGACTGAAACAGAAATATCCCCGTGTTTTGTTTAAGCCACTGTCACTCTGATTCTGAACCTATTATTATTATTTTTCCCCCCTCAACTTTTTTTTTTTTTTTTTTTTTTTTTGGCATTTTTAGAACAAGTTAATACACCAACCTGATCTTATTCAGAAGGAGACCCACAGAGTGTTAACAGGACAGTAATTAAATATTTTTCTCCTAATTGTTACAGTGATTTTTTTTTTAAAGGATGTTACATTTAAAGAGAGAGCTAAATCAAATGAGAAAGTAAGTCATGAGAATTTGGTCAGACCCATTTCCTATATTCCATGTCTATAGGGACATCAATTCTTGCTTAATGCAACAGTGCATTTTTAAAAATTCAGTCTGTACTGAATGAACATACACTTTTTCATGTCATTATTCCCTAAAGAAATAGGCATAACAGCTATTTATTTAACATCTACATTTAGGACGTATTGATTCAATCTGTGAATGATGTTTAAGATTAAGGGATCTTCAATGTGAAATTTTATCCTATTTTGTAAGAAGGACTAGGACAGATGCAGCTTTTGGTAGCTCTGGGGGAGCCTGTTACCAATGCCCTGCATAAATTGAGGGACAACAGTTATCAGGAATGATTCAATGCAAAAGGACAAACAAACAAAGCCCCCATGCTTCCAAGAGATATTTGCCCCAAACAGCCGAATACTTTCTTAACAACTCCAAATCATAACTGAATAGCAATTCCCCAATCTCTTTAATATCCCAACCAAATACTTGTAAGTAAACAAGCTTGTCTCACTGAAAAACAGCATGAAAGGCAATTTATTTACTCAAGAACACACAAATTCCACTTACATGAAGCAACAGAGGAAATCCACCCAAAAACAAACAAACAAACAAACTACAGTCCCCAAGGGGAGAGGTAGGCTAACTGCAGCTCTCCATCCCTCCCTTTACTCCTCTAGCCTCATCCCCAGCTCTGCAGCAGACCACCTGGTGTGGCCCCTCCTCACTAGGGGAAGCTCCTCTGCATGCTACCAAAGGAGAATTATAAGCTCCAGGCTAGTCACAGTCCCTTTGATCTATAGTGGTGTCCTGCTGATGAGACATGCAATGGTGGCATAAAGCCTGTGGCAGTAACCAACCAATACCTGATTTGACTTAAGGTCTACTCCATGAGATGGAACCCATACCTGCCACTGCTTGGGTTACCAAGAATGGGTGATTTAGACAGCTCAGGGATCTAGGGTAAAATCAAACACTACTATTATAAAAAATAAAAGTAAAATAAAGTTAGAATAAAATAAAATACTGACATTTTGCTATACTCAAAGATCAGTGCCTTGCTTAACCACTATCAGAGAAGCTTCCTCCTGCATCAAATGGGAACAAATATGGAGACCCACAGACAGACATTCTGCTGAGAGAGACAGATAAAAGACATTGGAACACTTATCCCTAAATGGGAGGTCTCCATCAAATTCCTCCCCTCAGGGTCGGGGAACTCCAAGGGAGCAGAAGCAGGAAGAGTGTAAGAGCTAAAGAGAAGGGAGGACACAGAATATCTTCCTAAGTCTGACTTCTTTCTCTTTAGAAATTGTCCTGACTGTGCTACAAGTTGTGCATATTTCTGCTAATGTCTATGACAGAGCTTTGGTGAGAGACTGAGATTTAAACTGGTAGAAAGGGTCAATCAGACTTCCTTCCCTGGTGTGGGGAGAGACCAGTGAGAAAGTATACAACCTTAGAGTTCTATCCAGATTGAAACTGTCTGGGATGGATTCCAGTCCAGATACTACTGCTTTATGATTTCACTCATGACTACAAATTAGCACAGCTCAGGTACTAAGGGAAACAAATATTCTAGTAAACACTGTAACAACAGCTTCCCAATGAGTATATCACTGTGTACGACAGGGTGCCCTCTGTTGCAAGAATCTTGTTGTGATTAAACAAACAATCAAACAATATTAAAATATATATGGAACCTTTATACTAATATTAAAGGTGAGGTTATATTTTTAATTTCTGTTGTTTTAGACAAAAAAAGGAGGCCATTTTGACAACTAATGTATGATTACCTCAGGAAAAAAGAAAACTAATACAAGGTATTTTCCATATAAATACAATTTACTGTAAACTAGTTTTCATTAAAGGCTATTAGCCTCCTCTATTAACTTTAATATTTATTTATGTTCAGTTGAGATTATTTCTCTTTACTAGTACTTTTGTGTGATGTGGGTATCTGCATGTGGACAGGTGCACATATGTGTCCAGATTCACATATACAGAGGCCAGAGATCAAGTTTGTTGTTCCTCAGGCGCCAGTTACTTTACATTCTTTTTTGAGATAGAATCCATCACTGAGACCTGGAGCTCACTGATAGGGCTAGGTGCTGGCCAGTGAGCCAAAGGAATCCTGGTACCCCTGCCTCCCACATAGATTACAAGCGCCATTCACCACCCCAGGTATGTGTACACTGGGATCAAACTCATGTCCTCTTGCTTGGGAGCCAAGCATTTTACAAACGAAGCCAGCTCCCCAGGCCTTTCTTTACTAATTCTGAGTGAATTTTTGTTTCAGATTTATTCATTCATATTCTTGGCTTCCTTTATTTACCATGAACAAACATAAGATGGACTTTGTGTGTGTGTGTGTGTGTGCTCAACAAACCCAATCTACATAAGCTCCAAAAACACTTTACAGTAATTGGAGAAAATAATGAGGTGTAAACTAAAGTAAGGAGGAGGATGCTATATTAAAGATCCATTTTTTAAAAGCACGAGACAGCTAAAAGATGGCCCAGGGCGAAAAATAAATGAGTGCCAACATTCTAGAAAACACACAGCTGCCTGAAGATCAGATACAGCTGTTGGCTTGAAGACTGCCAAATATATCTACAAACATCTGCACTCACCCCATGCATACTGCCAAAAGGTTTTCTGAGACATGGGTCCAGCTTTAAAAAGAAAAGGAATATGGTATGAAAGAAAACTATAGGTAGGTGGCTCTCAAGTTGGTAGTACAATTTACCTATCTCCTTTAGCTTTCAAAGAACAACACCAAGAATATCATCCCTGATGATTTTTTCAAGCTGAGACATGTCCTGACAGTTTCCAACTGGTCAACTAACTATTAAACTTAATTTTGATGATTAAGAAGCTTAAGCATATATTTGGTATGGATTATTGCTGGGTTGACTTTCAGAAACCAGACATAAAATCTTTGAAAAACAGAAAATTTATGGACATTACAACACTGGTATTTTTAAATTTCTCAGAGTCAACCAAATGAAGAGTCACAGCAGGAAATCAGACTATCTAGTTAGGTAATGCCAAAATAATTAAGAAAATAAGGTGAAGTAAATCAAAATGTCAGGAAAAAATAAGCTAGGCTAAGTTTAAATAAGCCTGCTTTGGAAAGCTGTATTCAAATCAAATGCCAGTATCATTTCAGTCACAAGAGAGCATCCCAGTTAATTTTGTCTTCTTTCACTAATTTACAGAAGAGCTACACAGGAGAACTGATTTATTCCAGGACACAGCACAGCAGAAGTACACTGAGGAGTCAACCTCTCTCTGCTGAACAGTGTTTCTGTAGAAGCCATCATCTCTGTGCTTCTAATACAAATTGTTACCTAGCTTCAATACAACACTGTGGAGGGCTGGAATGGGTAGAGGGCCATGTAGGATCATGTGTTGAGCACGTGTTCCCCAGTCAGCAGCATTGTTGCAGAACACTGTGGAACTTTTTGGAAGTCCAGCCTTGATGTGAGAAGTGGGACACTTGGGTTCATTCTCTACGTCCCAAGTGTAAGAGAATGCAATGCGACCAGCCTGCTAGCTTCCTGTTCCTGCTGTATGTTGGACTGTATTCCTCTGAAACCATACCCAAATAAGCCATTTCTCTCTTAAGATGTCTTTACCAGGTTGTTTTCTCACAGCAATAAGGGGATAAAAGAGAATGAAGATGAGGTGTAAGGTACATAATGTTTAATACCCTTACACACCAGTTACCCTGAGATGCTAGAACACCTGACACTGTTAACAGTGTTTCTTCTTACCTGTAACACATTCTACCACGCTGTACATTCATTTAGCTAACTTTATGTGGGCACACCTCATACCTATCAGAGAGGGCTATGAGAGAGCACTCAGTCTGCTGATTAATCCCCAGCTCTAAGCACTGTAGATGAAGTTTTTCATTGGGACCACTAGCCAGTTCTGCCCGTCAGTTAGCTCCCAAATAACTACACAGAGTGGTTATTATATAATGACTAATTATAAATTCTCAGCTGATAGCTTAGGCTTGTTTTTTTAAGCTATTTCATCACTTGAATTAATCCATCTCTATTACTGTGTGTGCTGCTCCAAGGCTTGTGGACCTCATGTCTGTACTTCTCATCCTGCTCACCCTGCATCTCATGGCATGGCCTCTGGACTCCGCCCTTCTTCCCACAACATTCTCTCTGCCCCAAGAATCCTGCCTAGCTACTACTGGCTAGATTAGTTTAACTTTCTATTAAACTAATCACAGTGACATATCACATATTTGTCCATTCTAGGACAGAACTCTATGGAACCTGGAGCTTGGTATAAGACAGGGATTATGTTAACTTTGCCACACAAACCCCTTGCCCTGTAAAGTCAACTGTTTTAATATAATGACTAAGCTACACAGTGATATATTTGTAATTTTGTGAAGACTTCTAGTGGTGGGGCTGGAGAGTTAACTCAGTTCTCAAGAACCTTGTTGCTCTTGTAGAGGATCAGGTTTGGTTCCCATCACCCACATTGTGGCACAGAAACATCTCTAACTCCAGTCTCAGGGGATCTGATGCCCTTTTCTGACCACTGCAGGCACATGGTGCACATACATACATGGAAGTAACATACTTGGAAGTAAAACACTACTCATACACATTAAAAAAAAAAAACAAAAACTAAAATAAGTTAAAAAGAATACCAGGACCATACTGTGTACATTAAATATATAAAATAAGGCTACATTTATAGTCTATTGGTTGCTAACTACACATACAGTCATATACGCTGACCGCCCCCCCCCCACACCTCTTAAGTGCTTAGCAATAAAGAAATACAAGCTATCAAAATTCTAGTGGTACCATACTTATCTTGAATACTCTACTAATTGCTTTTCTCCTTGTGACAAAGCTGCTCATTTTGGCTCACTGTTCAAGGGCACAGTCTATCTTGGCAGCAGGGTCTTAAGGCAGCCATCACATTGCATCCACAGCCAGGAAGCAGAAAGCAACGGATGCTTGAGATGGACTGGCTTTCTCCTTTTTATCCAGTCAAGAGTCCCAGCTCATGAAATGGTACCATCCACATTTAGGGTGACTCTTCCCATTTAATTATTTCATCTCTAATCTAGATAATCTCATACGGCTGCACCCAGGGATTTGTCTCCAGGGTGAGTCTAAATCTGATTGGACTGACAATCAAGATTAACTACCACAGATACTGCTTGCTAGTTTTAGGCTTTCCTCCATCAATCTGTCTTGTTTCTAACCTATCACTCCAGATTTACAACCCAATTTCCTCTGTTCTTGAAACTATGTCTGCTAGGAAGCTAGAGGCCTGTTTGGTGGGCTTTGTTAGGAACAATGAGCCTGGCTTTCTGTACGTTGACTTTGATATGTCTTGCTGTGGTCTTGTAGCTCAATCTCTGCTTCTGATCTGTAAAGGGCATCTGAATATATAGCCCACTTAAGTCTATGCATAGGAAAAGTTAAAATAAATATTGTGCGTATTTTCTTAAACATACTTCTACAAGCCATTTTCTCAAATTCTATGTCTTAATCGTAATCAATTCCTTGTTTTCAAAGTGGTATTCATCAGAACTACTTATGGAGCATCTTAAAAATACATGCATTCATGTTCTGTCCCTGGAAGCTATACTTCAGACGGCCACAGGCAGTTCTCCCACGTCCTGTACTGACAAATTAGATTTAGCTGTACAGTCAGCGTTAAGAAGCCTGATACAATGCTGCAGGCATGGCTATCCCACTTCCTTTTACTGAGGACATGGTAGGAAATGAGAACGCAATATGGCAAAAGGTGGAGAAGGTGCCTGCCTGGCTCCCCAATCCAGCTGGTTTTGTACATAAGACAAAGAACAGTCCAGATGAAACAGAAACACGAACCAAGCTTGTTATGCTTACCACTCGCTTTTGCACACTCTCTTTTTTCTTGGCTGGGCAACTGTTTTCCTGATGCTCAGGCTTCGGTGTTACTGACACTGCATGCATCTGCACCCAGTTCAATCATCAGTCATCAGTCAGACCACTGTCTTCCCATTTCTACTCTGCTCTCCTGACAAGCAGAACTCTCAACTCTGTTCATTTCAGGTATATATGGAAAATAGTATGTGTTTTACCTGACCAAAGCTTATTACTACCTATCTGGTAAGGCAGTCATTCTTAATAGATAAGATACTCTTCCCAGGAAGGTCTTCCCGTGAATTAACAAAGCCCACAACAGTGAGAGAAAATGACAGAGTGTGGCTGTTGGTCTCTGAGGACAAATTTTCACACTTCTTTTTGTCTACCTCAGGACTTCAAATGTTCAATAAACTCATTGAACAATGGTAACTTCGCCTTTTGTCACGGCACTTCTAAAGTAACTGAGACACGAGGGGGAAGAGGAGACAACAAGTGCATGGGTATAGCAATTGCTCAGTTCCTTCAGACTCTTCCAGTGACTTCCTAATGTGTCTCAGTCAGTGTTCTCCTGCTGTAAAGGGACACCATGACTGCAGCAACTCTTATAAAGGAAAACATTTAATTGGGGCTGCCTTACACTTTCTGAGGTTAACAGTTAGTAGCATGTCAGGAAGCAGGGCAGAATGCAGGCAGACATTGTTGATGGAGAGGCATCAGAGAGTTCTACAGGCATCTAGATCTACAGGCAGCAGAGACTCTGGGCCTGGCTTGAGCATTTGAAACCTCAAAGCCCGTCCCCAGTGACACCCTTCCTCCAACAAGGCCACATCTACTCCCACAAGGTCCCAGCTCCTAATTCCTGTCAAACAGTGCCACTTCCTAATGACAAAGTATTCATACTTATGAGCCTATGGGGACCATTCTTTTTCAAACCACCACACTTTCCTATTCAAACTGAATTTAATCAAATACTGCCCTATATAAGAGAACTGCCACTATTAATAGTCTAAAAACTGTTGTGAAACAAATTTGAAACAGCAGTTTTGAAGCTGTATCTTAGAGAGAGTTATCATATAAAAATGCATCAAGCAAATACTATATTTGAAGCTTCCAACATATTTTTCACTTTTCTCTATAGAGTCCAGAGAGCACGTAATGAATATTACTGTTTTAATAAAACAACAGTACTAAGGTTTTCTAGACTCATAGTCTAGAAAACATAGTCATAGACATCTAAGTATGTTGACTTTTCTTTTTTTTTTTTTAAACAAAGAAATATTGATTCTTCAGAAATGGAGAAAAGTTTGGAAATGAGAATAAATGTTTGTACATAACAGTTTCATAATCACAATTAAAGCAAAACTTACAAGTATTTATAAACTTAAGTCCTACAAAATATATATCATATACCAGTGAAATTTTAGGTATTTGCAAATTTTACGTTTTCAGTAAGCCCATTTTATGGCCAAAGAAATACAATATAAAATACAATATAATACAATATAAAAGTGATATAATATAATATAATATAAAATATATTATAATATAATATAAAAGTCCTTCATACTACTAGTGTTAAATTCGCAAAAAAATTAGATGTTATCTTAAATGCTAATTCAAGTCACAATCATGGCTAGGCATAGTACCACAAGTCTCTAATGCAGCTCTCAGGAGGAAGAGGCAGACGGATCTTCGAGTTCATGGCCAGCCTGGTCTTTATAGTGAGCCCCCAGATGTGAGGGACTATATAGGGAGACCCTTTCTCAACATGGAAATAAGACAAATCAATCAAGACACAATAATAATGGACAAAAGAGAAAGAGAAAACAGCCACGATAATTGAAACACCACAGAACGCTTACTACCTTTAGGCTGGTTTTCAAATTCCTCAGATAAGAGATGGTAGCAACAGCCCACACTGCAAACTCCCTTGACTTCAGACTTGGATGCAAAGATCCGCAGAGTGTTTGATGCAAGGTCGCCACAAGTGTGCAGCCCCACCATTAGACAGTCCTGTGGAGACAAGGCAAGGAAAGACTGATGGGAGATGTCATTCTGTAAATATGTTTCTCGTGTTGGCCAATAGGAAAGCAAGATAGGCAGGACTAGGAGACTAGGAGGAGAGAGGAAGTAGTAGGGAGAAGATCCAAGATGGAGGACAGAGAGAGCAGAACACCAGCCCCTCTTTCCGGTAAGATGAGATCAAGTGGAAATACTTAGATAACTAGAAGTGGGTTAGTATTTAAGACAGAGCTACCCGATAAGAAACTAGTAACTGGCCAACAGAATTATATATTAATACAGAGTCTCTGTATTATTTGCAGTGGGACCAGGCTGCCGGGGAAAAACCTACTCGTAACAAAAGACAAAGGCAATTAAGAGAAGTTAAAAACTACACAAGCCAAGATTTGAAGTGTGTTTTCAAATATGTGAACCTTTTAAGTAATCAATTCTATATAAAATTCTACATACCATTTTATATGCAAAATAACTAACTGTTCATTTTAGTCAAAATGGCCGTATTTTCCCACAGCTTCTGTTTCTTTAATTTCATTTGCATTTTTCTCATCTCTTTTACAACTGTTTGCTCAACAGACAAGACACTGCACATTAAAGGTTAAGGTTGGATCAAAAGTGCAGCTACTCCATAAACCTGAGATTTGCGATGTTTATACGATACTGTGACTCTTCTAGTCAAATTTCTTCTATTGATTGAACTTATTCAGGCTGCCCACCTTATAAAACATGGTTATAAGAAACAGAAAACAAACAAAACTGCCATTTCTAACATAATACGAATATATTTATTTTACTGATCAAATTTACCAAAATAAAAATCAAAATATCTATTCTTGCTCTCAATTTTCTAAAATGAATTTTATGTAAAAAATTGTCTTACAAAATGCTTTTGCTAATTCCTCCAATCCTAATTTAAATGTACTCACATGAAATTGAGTACAAATGTATACATGCATAGAATCTTGTCAATCTATCAAGCATCTCATAGTTGTATTTATTATTGCTTTGCTTAACATGAATCATAAAACTGAATTAAAGAGGGGCAACTGGGACCTTTCATGCACACAATCTGTGCCCGTATACTTTTGCCATTTGTGACTGGAGACTTTTAGGGAAATTGTACTATCTTTTGAGGGTTTAAGAAGATACCGTTTAACATACACATTCATGGGTCACACTATTATTACATTTATGATATAAATATACTGACAGCAATTTCTCAGGTTCTCTTCACAACAACACCTTTAAAAATCATCTACCAATGCTGTGTTAAGAATTATTCAGCCAAAAACTCAATTTTTATAGTGCCAATTAGAATTTTAAAGGCATAGGGGTAATGAGACTATAGTCCTCAGGAGGCTGAGGCAAGAGGATTCTCAAGTTAGTCTTGGCTACATAATAAATTATACTCTAGCCAGGTTTACATAGCAAGACTCTATCCCAAAGCAAAACAAATACTGATGATACTGCTTAAGAGACATCAAAGAACTGAGTAATTATCAATAAGTCTAATACAGATGGAATATATCAATATCACTAAGAACATAAATTTGAGAAACAGGTAGCTGGCTTTAGAGTCTAGTTTGTTACAAATGTGATTTTGCAAATTTAACTTCAGTTTGTTATGGACTCCTCATGTCTTCCTACATAGCCCAGGCTGTCCTTGAAATCAGGAAGCTCCTGCTTCAGTGTTTATGCTATTTATATATGTGTGCCACCATGCTCAGTAATATAATCTCAAGACTACTTTGAAAAAATGAAGTGGCAAAATACACTAAAATTTTGAATTTTACCAGATAACTAATTACTGTTTTTTTTTAATTCATGAGGACTAATGTTTCCTATAACTGGTACCTTTTATGGGTATCTGGCAAGAGGGAAGGCATTGGAGTGATGGCTCATTGGTTAAGAGCGTGCACTACTCTTGCAGTGAACCCAAGTCTGGTTCTCAGCGTGCAGGTTGGGTGCCTCACTCGCCTATAACTCTAGATCCATGCCATCTCTCATCTCTTCTGACCTATGTAGTTGTTGCCCTAACATTCACAAAGCCTCAAAGAGACACATACATATATGCATAATTCAAAAATAAGAATAAAACCTTTAAAAAAATATCTGTGGAGGAAAACCCCTTTTTTGCAAAAATCATATAAAACAAAGATTTAAATTTATCAAGAATTCCGGTACTTTGTTTAGCCATTGCTTTTGGCTAGATTTTTAAAAATTAAGAAAGAATAATATTAACTTCAAAAGATACTTTGTCTTACAAGAGGCTAGATAATCTGTAGAAGCTTCTGTAAATATTGTTTTAACATACAGTAGCACATTTAAGACATATTGTCTTTCAATTATACAACTTGAAAACTTAGAGAGCATTAAAGCCATAAGGAATTCTCACAGGCTATTCGTGCTCTAGGACACTGCATGCCTGTCAATATATTTATGTTAATTACCTCTTTACTGGTTCTCATTGCCCTGATCGGATCATCAAGTGTGGATGCATGAGAACATGCTTCACTTCATGAACATCTACAACCACTGTGTCAGTTTACAACAATAAGAATTACGAAAACACAGACTTCTTGGACTAGAAATTTAAACAGTCTCTAAATTGTAGATATAATAATTTTGCTAACTGACTAGCATTTGTGCTAGTGCTTCTATTTAGAGGTGAAATGAGGCGAGGGTTTGTATTCTTCAGCATGTACTTATTAAATTTTGACAGTTGAGGGGACAAAGAAAATCAGTGCAGGACTTCGTTCTTTATCTTTAGGACTGAAGTGTCAGATAATATCATATTAGTACAATAATAAACTATTCAGAGTGTATTCTATGGTGGTAGCATTCTTGCAAACCAGAGGATTCGAGAGCAGACTCACCTCCAGGTCTGTAATAATGTCGTGTAATTCTGAGTCAGCAGTGATAAAAGAGGTCAGTGGTGAATATACACTTGAATCATTTGGCTTGGATTTCATATCTCTTCTCTGTTTCCCCACTTCAGACATTTCTGTGTTGTGCACCTGGGGTGAGGTAGGTTCGATGGCATCAACAGGCAAAAGGTCCATGAGAGAAAAGGCATTTTCCAAACAGAACTTGTCTTCTTCTCGTGGCTGAGCATGTAGATCTTGCTGTTTCCCAATGACTGAAACGGCTGATTCTGAAACCTCTGGCAAGACATCGGCAGCCATGTTTTGACTCCCCAGGCTGCTCTTGGGTGCGCTCTCAACACCTCCCTTACACTCTGCTTCCTTCTGAGTTTCCACTGCTTTCGGCATTTTTAATGCCGCTCCACTGGCATCTACTCTTGTCTGACGATGATTCAGCTTACAGTGTCTCCTCAACTTCCTGTTTCTCTCCTTAGCTCCATGAGTATTGGTATTTGAGGAATCGATGCCGTAGACATTTAAACCATACTTTAAGGACAAGAAGGAGCTTAGGTAGCCTTTACCAGAACCCACGTCAATTATCTGGGGAAAACAAAAGAGAATGAATTCAGGATTTTAGTCAGTTGGTAGTGGAAACATTCCAAATATTTTACTAAGACGAGTCAACAAAAGTAATGTGTCATTTATGTAATATGTTTGTTATTTTAATGTTTGATTCCTATTAAAAATCAATCACTGATCATTTTCATTAAACATTTTCCAGTTCTAAATAGCATACTAAATCAGAGCAACAATTAAGTAACAGAAATAGTATTTGGTAGTGACGAAGACAACATGTTTTTATCATACATGACATAACTGTTTCCACGGAAAATCCCAAAGAATATATTTAAAAGTCACCAAAAATGACAGATGAGCTAAGCAATGTGCCAAGGTACAAAGCAAACAGAAACTAACAAAGATCTATTAGAGTGTAGTAACACAGTAGCAATGGACGTTGTGAAAGAAAGGTTTTCAAACAAGACTGTAGTGTACTCTCTCTCTGAACCACCCATCCTGACTCCTCCTCTTCTGACTGATGACTCCACCTGCCTTCCTCCCAGAGTTCTCTCTCCGCTCAGAAGTCCCTGCTATACCTCCTGCTTGTCTACAGGCTGTTCAGCTTTTGATTACACCAATCTCAGCAATGCATCTTCACACAGTGTACAAATATCCCACATTTCCCCCCTTTTGTCTAAATAAAAGGAAAGGTTTTAACTCTAATACAGTAAAACTATATAATCTGAAAGCTGAGTGCTCACATTTCATTCATAATAGGAAGTGGGGCCAGGCTACAAACCTCAACTTCATCCCCAGTGACATAGTTCCTCCAGCAAGGCTCCAGCTCTCAAAGATTCCATAACCTCCGTAAACAGCACCCCCGACTGTTCGGATACATGCGCCTATGGGCAACATCTCACATGCAAACCACAACACTGGCTTACATAGTATTTCACATAAATACAAATACATAAAGTTATGAGGACAAGGATACAGTAAACAGTCTTCACCTTTCTAGTTTGGTATAGCTTAGTGACGGCTCTATCAATGAAGACCTGAGACCTGTGTGTGATCTCTTTGGCAAGTGAAGTAAACACTGAGAGGAAGCTCAAAAAGGGGCGGGGTGGAGAACAACAGTCCAATAAAAAGTAAAAAAAATGAAATAAGCGTGATGCTAAAAATGGTAATACTTATAAGGAAATAATCTTACCTGCTTTAAACCACAGTAATCAGCGATACTGCAGATTAGCTCTGACATTGCTTGAACCTCATGAGATTTTTTTGTATTCATAAACTCAATTGCCTTCACATTTTCACCTGAATGAAAATAAAGATAATTAATATACTTCTACTAAAAAGACTTTTAATGAGTTGTCACAACTTTTTATATTAATATGGAAGTGGCATAAACCCTATTGTAATATCTGTATGATTGCTATTAATTTAACAGTTATGATTCCAATTGAATAAAATAAAAATATCCACAGATAATTAAAATCAATCCTTGATATAACAAGTAGTTAACTATGAATGGAAAAAAAACTGTACTACAAAATAATTCAAGGAACAGCATTAACACAATAAAAAGATAAGCAAGAAAGTGGAAATAGACATTGTTATACACACATAGGAAAATAAAACCAAGTCTTATTCACCAAAAAAAAAAAAAAACCAAAACCAAACCAAACCAAACCAAACAAACAAAAAAAGCCTAATACAAGAACAGACAAATGAACAATTTAAACTTTCAAGCTACACTAGCCACATATGAAGAGCTTAATATCCACATGTGGCTATTTTCTTCTATATAGTGTGCTCCGGGGCCCTGCTCCAAATGATATGACAGACTTTGAAGATCCCATGTAAGTCTGCTCCCTGGATAGCAGAAAGGGAATGGGCTGGGGGTTTGTGGGGGAGCAGGGGAGGAGGGGAGGGTAAGGGAACTGGGGTTGACATGTAAAGCAAGTTGTTTCAAATTTAAATAATAAAAAAAAAACTTGCTAATAAGGTCTTCCCAGGTGAACATGGTTACTATACAATGGCATTCTGCTGACTGACACCAGCCCAGAAAACAGACAGACATACTCCAGCATGGGGAGCAGATTCCCTCCATGCACAGCTGTCACTAGCCTGTATCCCTACACTGAGAAGTCAACTTTCTTTTACTGGCATAAGACAACATCCATCTAGATCTTGGTAATGGTTTCATGTTTGTGTACGCTATTGTTGCTCCTTTGACACCCAACATATAGTTCCTATGTTTTAGAAGGCAGATGGAAGGCCAGGCTTTACTCAGCCGTGGCCACTTAGCAACAGCTTGGTGTTTTGATTACAATGTCAGTAGCAATGTTGCTGATTAACTCAATTACAGCCAGAATGCTCTTGCCCAGAGCCACCATTGCCCAAAATCCTTTGTTTTGTTTCAGGAGGAACATAATAAAATATCTTCATTAAAATGCTTAGAGATAAAGGAAAACAACAATAACAATGAGAAAATTGGACTAGAAGGGGGATAAGCTCCTTTTGCAATGAAGGGTTTCGGAGGATCCAGTTTTGCCAGCAAACACTAAGTACCAGTGATAGGTAAATATTACATTGCCTCTTAGTGAGGGGCATGAGAAAGAAATCCTTTAATTAGAATCTCAATTAAAAGTGTAAAGCTGTACTTAATCAAACAAACCTTCCTGCATGGATCAACCTATCAGTGTCAGGAAAAACAACCAGACGAAAGAGGAGAAAATTCTAGGTCCATTATCGGACACCCATGGCAGCGCATGCATACCTTTTCAAAACTAGAGGCCCTCTTCTGACCTCTGTGCTCATCAGGGACACACTTGTACTCACACGTGCGTGTAAGCAAAGCACTCATACATGTAAAATATATTTAAAAAAGTATGAAAAAAAAGAAGCTGTAATTTCTGCAACACTAAAACATATTGAATACAGTCTGCTTATTAGATAATGTTACTAAAGCCAAGTGAAAGTCCTGAATAAACCGACATGATATGGGGTAAGTAGGAATTTATCCTGGTTCTTATGGATACATATTAAAATTCTTGTGGGTAATTCCATGTCTCGGACTGATGGTCAGAGGATCCAGACTTTTACAAAGTGTGTGAGGGTGCCTGCTTACAGCAAGTAAGACTTTAACATGGCAAATTTAGGTCAAAAGTATCCAGGATTCACTGTAGTATTAAACAGTGTTTCTGTAAGTTTAGAGCTTTCTTTAAAAACAAAAAACAAAAGAGAGTTGGTGAAATAATGAGGATCAAATGAGGTAGCAGCAAAAAAGACCTTGGTAAACAATAAATTAGGCATGTAGTCCCTATTTTATCGTGAATGTAATTATTATTTAACCCATTGGCTCTACTACTAAAGCTGATTCCTTGACATGGAGCACAGTCAGTTTTTAAAACCTCAGCCTCCTCATCACGACCATCTAACTGGGGTGTCTACTGGCATTTAACATAACTATGGAAGGAAATGACTTTTAACCTATCTTGACACTTGAGTTTTAATTTGGGTTTTCCCCACTTTCATATACTTATGTCTCCCCCATTTTCCCAGCCACCATCATCCACATTCCTCATATTCTTCCCAAAGAACCAGGTGCAGAGGTCATTATCCAACTGCAATAAAAACTAACGCAAGGATTTTTGACATCGTAGTAGCACAATACATATGTGCTTGAAAGTCTGAAATTAACTGTGGTAAAGACATCCAGGGACTAATGTAGGGAAAAGCATAGAGATATGTATGTGACTTTAATTTAGGATAAGAGAACCTGTTCCTCCCAGAATGAGTGAACGTATCAGTGCTCGGAATATCCAGGAACAAACTAGACTATAATGGAGAGACATATATATGAACCGTGTCCTGCTGTTAAGAACCTAGAAAGCGTAAGCATATGTCACACTCACACGTATCAGTCCTCTGTTCTTTATTTACTCCAAGGGCTGTAAGCAACTGCTCAAAAGGAGTACACAGACCCAAGCTTTGCACAGAGTAGTGTCTGGCGGCTAGAGCGAAGGCTTCCGTGCTCAACAGCTTCTGAGACCTTTCACAAAATACTCTGGGGAGATCAATAAGACCTGAAAATCGGACAGAAAAGGAAGATGAGCAGTATTAATATCTAAATTGTTTGCGATTTTAAAACAGTAAATAAACCATGGAGATTTTACAGCAGCTTACAAGATTTTAACTGTAGAGTATGGCAATATTTCTAACAGTTCCTTTGCATTTGTTACTTAAATGATCGGCCTCTGCAAAACCCAGTTTTAGCATTTTCTCTAATCATGTCTTGAAAGATCAAATTAAAATTTGGTCTTTCTGTTTTCCAGGGACAACAGCAGCAGCCGTTTCCTGCCTGAAGAGTACTGTGGTTGCGTAACTGTGAGCTGTCTCGTCTGACCCACAATTGTGCGTTTCAAGGTGCCAGTCCCAACAACACTGTTACCCCTGCGTTGCACAGTCTCACTCTTCTGGACGGCTGCTAGGGGGCGACACTTTATTTCTAAGGTTTTCATTCCAGTTTGTCATAGCAGTCATAGACCTCAATGGATAAAGCAGTCCAAGTGAGCCCATTCATTAAAGGGTGTTTCTAAAAACTAAACCAACATGTGACAAAATAAAAGCAAGCTCACAAAACCATCAAATCCAGTTGTTAAACAATGTGTGCAGAGCACTCACTTAGGGGAAACATACAATCTTGGGAACAACTTGGACTCTACCAAAACCAGACAGACATAACATACATGCCATGACATCTTGCCTAGCCTACACTACATTCATAACTACTTCTTAAAATATCCAGCTAAACACAAAGGGGACCATTGCTCTCTGACAAAACTTGAAAACAATGTAACTGATGAATATCTTCAGATTCTAAAGAAAATTATACTCCCACTCATAGCTTCTTAAAAAATAGCATCTCTTAAGATGAGGTATAATGTGTGCACAATTTATTAAACAGCAAAAAGCAGAGATGTGTGTACTTCAACTTTTGAGTCAATTAAATAGAAAATAAAACCACAAGGTTACCTTGGTGAATTTATTTAATATAGATTTTAGGAAATTTTACGAGCTGAATTTACCGATGCAGCCAAAGCAATAAAATCTACATCAAAATATTTAGACATGATGCAGGAGGGAAAACTCAGTCGACTATTAAGTGAGACTTTCAGGTTTAAGAGCAGTTTCAACATTTGAAGGTTCCAGGGGAGCAGTTTCTTAGAGTGTGATAGAATAAAGTATGAAATCGCAGTGAGCAGAGGGGCCATTATACCTGGCAATTATTGGGCAATGTTGCCAACAGAAAGAAATGTGGTGTTTCTGTTGGAAAAGTAAGTGTCTGAATCAACTTAGCTATCCTATTGAAAATTCTTGAAAATATTCCACTTTGACCTGAACTAAATGCTATTGATTTGCTTTTAATTGCCAGCATTCCAGAAACTTTGGGTACTGGAGGCCTAAGTTAAAATGGTAGCACATTTTCAGTGATAGTCAATGTTTTAAAGGATTGCATATTTTGATTCAATCTCATAGTTTATTTCTTTAGAGTTAAAACCAGTTTATTCCTATTTTGATTCAATCTCATAGTTTATTTCTTTAGAGTTAAAACCAGTTTATTCCGTCTAGAGTTCCACAATTGTTTTTTTTTTTTTTTTTTTTACCACAGAAACACAGCTGAGTTATTATTATTGTTTTTTTTTTCCGAGTGGTTCAGTCTATATAACTGCCACAATTTGCTGCTTTTGGAGATTCATAGAGAATGAGAAGGGCCAAAAATCTAGGCTTGCCTTTCTTCTGCATGCGAGAAGGCCATGGGGCATGGGCCCAGATCCTCACAGTGCCGTGTGTGCATAGTAAGTTTGTGATTGGCAGCCAGTAGCACAGAAGCCCCATGGCCACTGAGTTTTAGTTACTTCTTAGTTGGGTGTAGATATTCTTCCCCACAGAGAAAGTTCCTGCATTTGTTACATTTGTTGCATATTCTGCAGCTTGATTGCCTTGCCTGCATCTCCCTCTGCTGGGAGTTTCTGATTTTCCTCGGGTGTCTTCTTCACTTGTCTCTTTGTGTGACCTATCACTATCCCAGGGTGTCGAGGCTAGGAGACCGACCATTGGGGAAGAGATTAGCGGCAGAGCCAGAGGGCTGGCTCGGTGGGTAAAGATGATTGCTTCCACACGGTGGAAGGCTAGAAACGACTCCTGCCTGCTGCCCTCTGACCTCCACAGACTCACCCCAGTACACTACGCACACATATATACTAACAAATCATACATCATACACATAGTGATAAAAAAAAAACACAGGATTTAAAAATAGCATCAAACTAGGAAATGAGATGGGGAAAAAGCAGGAGAGGTTATTTTCGATAAACACGATACCAGGATATACCTCGAACCTGCTTTTAATCTTTTACCAGATATCACTGTACACAGGAAAACCAAAGAGTCAAATGCAGACTGGAAGAATTTTTCAAAAGAAAAAATGCATAAAGTTTTAAAACCAGAAATAAGACCAATGGATGCATATTCATAATTAACAAGTAAAATTTCCAAGCTACTTACCTGTTCTGGTACTTGGATGTCCTATAAGACTCTAAGGAAGATGAGCTCCATCAGGGTGAACAATAACTCACCACCCCACTGCAGACAGCTACTGCACGTTTAATGCTACATGCCAGGCAGGATGCCAGACACTTTACCTGTTATACGAGCATGCTAATTGTTGCTCTTTCTTCATTTGCAGAGGAGATTCCTGAGACCTGACAAGACTGTAACGGATTCAAATGTCACACACTAACACTGTCAGAGCAAATAAGCTGTGGCAGTATGCGTTTACACTGCGCTCTTAACCCTCATGCTCCACTGGCATAGGTCACAGCAAGCAAATAGCAGTGAGCATCGATGGACCTGACTATCAGTCAGACAACTTCCCTGGCAGAGATCCATCTAGAGTGGTGAGTTTTTATTACACACTTGGTTTTCCTTTGTAATCACTCCTATACTCCTCTTCACATCTCCCTCTCCACTAGAAGTGATCTTGCTTCCAGAAACTGAAGCATAATTTGGATATCTAAAATAATTAATGTCTCTGAAAAGAAAGCAAATTCAAGGTGTACGATTTTCTGTGGCGTCTACTAATAGAAGCAAATACCACTGTCTCCTATGTTCAGTTGTAAAGCAAAAGGACTTTGCACACAACATGAATGATGGATGATGGATGGATGCATGCATGCATGAACGACAGCATATTTCAATGCACTTACTATTGTAGCATCACCGGCTACGGAATTCTCCTAAGACTCTGTAGTGGCTGAAATCACTGAGGCCACTGTGAGGACTTCCATAGCACCACTGAGCCTGTTAGGGAAGCATAAAACCTCATTTCAGCCCGAGTACTCACAACCTTAGGGTGAGACAGGAGTGATTTAGATCACACAGAATACAATGTAAGATACGAATATGTACTAAAGTTACGGATGTAATTTTGTTATAGGGGTATAAGAAATTATTAATCACACAGCCAATAGACCAGAATTTCAGGGAGATATTGACAGCAGTACCTTCCTGATGATCATCTTCACAAGGATATGGAAATATTTTGTATTTATTTCTACAAATATTCTTATTCCTGACACATCTTGCCTTTTTCCTGTCTCCTGTGTTGGTAAATAGCATTTCCATTCACTGTTAAAATTAAAAACATCTTTAGTTCATGTGTCCAGCCAGTCATCCATCCTGACATAAAATTGTCTTTCATTTGGAAACCCTCCCCATCACCGCTACAGTTCAAATCCCATTAATTCCAGCATTACCACAAAAGCCTCAAGGTATGTTCCTTTTGGATAAAAAGCACAGTGTTCCCCAAGTGTTGGATGAGTTGAGCATGTGTTTCTTAAAAGGAAATTAATTTTTATTTAATGCAAACTTAATAGTTAATAGAAGTTTTTAAGGCTTTGGTTTTTGCAATAGTTGACTGTTGGATTACATCTTTGTTAATTGCTTAATAGCTGAACGTTAACTCTGTCTTATTAAACTTTGAAAACTAAAGAAGGAATGGTTAAGTTTTACATACTTTGCATCTATCCAACATACTGTAATGTACTAAGAGAACAAATACAATACATATTGTTGCTCTTAAAATGAATCAATTATATGATCCAATTATGTGGTAGTATTTTTTTTTTTTTGAATAAGCAACTCTAGCTTAATTTATAGTTGAATACAAAATAAAAAAAATATGTTAAACAGGTAAACCATGTTTTTGGATGAAATAACACATATTCACAAGGACTGACATATGGTTCCTTACCATACCAACATTAACACCATAATGAATGCATAAGTATAGTCAATCATGCCAAAAGCATTTTCACATTGAACTATGTTATTTATGAAAATTAAATTAAATGTAAAACTAGAAAAGTTAACCATAATATTTTAACTTTAAGATTCCTTACTTAGTTTAACTTGTTGAGAAATACAACTGTTCAATGAGACATATTTAGAAACACATTTGCTAAATAAAATGATAAAAAGCAAAGTAATTCAGGGGTGTCTAATGCTATGTGAAATAACAGTCATGGAACACTGGGTCAGTTTCCTGCTAAAATGGCATAAAAGCCCTCAAGAAACACAGCACAGTAGAAAGAACTGGTCTGGGGAGAAAGTTCAGTGGGTAAAATGCTTGCCACATTAACCATAAAGACCAAAGTTAGGATCCCCCAAACCAGCAGTCCTCAACCTTCCTAGTGCCGCGACCCTTCAATACAGTTTCTCATGTTGTGGTGACTCCCAAGCATAAAATTATTTTTGTTGCTACTTCATAACTGTAAGTTTGCCACTGTTGTGAATTGCAATGTAAATATATGTGCTTTTCAATGGTCTTAGGTGACCCCCTATGAAAGAGTCATTTGATTCCCCAAAGGGCTACACCTCACCAGTTGAGATCCCCTGCCCAAAAGTCACATGAAGACACAGGTCCAGCAGCCTCTGTCCTGTTCCAGTTTACTTCTACTGCTGTGCTCAAGACCACACACAAGGGGAACGTGGGGAAGATGATTCTGTGTCCTCTTTTTGGAAAAGGTATATAAGAGTGGTGGAAAATAAACTCGTGGCATTTCAGTATTGACTGGTCTGCCCTCCTGACCTTTATTCTGTCTCTTTATTGTCTATAGCTAGCCTTTCCCTCATCCCCACTCACCCACTCAGGTACGGACTTGGGGCCGCTCAACTGGCTCTGATTACAGCCCCACAAAGACCGATCCCGACACAATTGTGTAAAACAAAAAGCCGATATCTCATATGTGTCTTATCTCATACATATACAAAGATCAAAAGTACCCTTTGGACACTGCTCAATGCACAGGACTTTCCTATATTCATCTAGAAAAAAACTGCAATCAGTTAACTCTGAATCTGTCTTCACTGAGAAGTGTAAGGTTCCAGTTAAAATAAATACTTCATTTGTTAGTGTGCTATACAATTGCTGACGTCTGTGATCTCCCAACACGGACGTCAGATTTGTTTAACTTGTTCTACCGATGATGAGAAAATCCTAAGTGATGCTTCCAATAAATCAGTATTTTATACTGGAAAAGTTATTAGGTTCAGAGACATTTCAAAGGTCAATAACCCAGCCAGTCTCTGTTGTTTTTGTTGGACAGACATATAATTGACTGTCAGGTCTCTCTCTCTCTCTCTCTCTCTCTCTCACACACACACACACACACACACACACACACACACACACACACACATTCCTAGTCTAAGAAAGCAAACACAAGGTATTACTGATGTGCTCAGTTATACTTTGGCAATACTTATTAACCATCTTCACTGACCAGACACTGTCCTAAACACACAGACAAGATACTCTTAACATTACTGCTCATGGGAACAAAAACTAAGAAGGAATGCATTCAGATTACTAAGAAATCACTCTGGTGAGAAACTGACTTCGTAATTACTTGCTAAACAAACCAATAGATTCAAATATGGATATGACGAGCTCATACTGTGGCGTCAGATAATGAGAAACTGACAGTATGAACCTTCTGCTAAAAACTGTGGTCCCTGGGAAATGAATTTAAGCTGCAAATTCACAAGCCAAGATTAAAGAATCCAATTTCAGTACAATGTAAAGAGTAAGAGAAAACGGGGTCTGGAAGATAAAATGTTTGCTTTGCAAGCATGGGGGCCTGAGGATCCACATAAAAGCCAGGCATGGTGGTACACACTTGCAATTCCAGGGTTGGGGGGGGGGTGCAGAATTCTTCAGGTAGATTCCTGAAGTTCACTAGCCAAGCACCTTAGCCTAACTGATGAGTCCCTGTTCAAAACATAGGGTGCACAGCCCCTGAGAAATAATGCTGGAAGCTGACCTGATCTCCCACATGAGGACAGGCGTGTACACACACACACACACACACACACACACACACACACGAAAGAGAAAATATATATATGGAGAAAAATATAATTGTGCACCTAGCAATAGTACATAGCAGAATTCACGAGGAATACAACTATTAATATACGTAAAATAATGTAATCCCATCGGGCAGAGACCCAGTTAGGCACACATTAAAGCCTTGTTCTGCTCTTAATAGTCGCTTTTCTTCACATTTTCTTTTTTGAAAGCCACCATGAGTCAGTGGTTCAACAAATGTTTAAGGCGCACTTAACACATGCCAAGTATTTTCCCACGTGTTGGAATCCACCCACTGTTCAGACAAATATGGTTCGGGCTCTTTGCAAGTTTTCCAAGAGAGACTTGAAAAGACCGGATATTTACTAAGTTCCATCTTCACTACCCCCACCCCGACCCCCCGTGGCACACTGCATATTCAGGGATTTGAGGGAAGACGTTCACTAGCGACACCTGGAGAGCCTGGAAGCGAAGCAGAAATGCCAGTAGATAGACAGTTCCTCCGTCTGTTCGCAAAACCGACACTCGATAGAATCTACGTCTCTTGAGGGTGCGAAACCCCAGAGCCTAGAAAACTTCTGGTCCCATAACTGGTACTGAAAATACAGTTTCCAAACGAACTGGAGAGCATTCACAGGATTTTCACCCTGCGAACCCAAGACACACTCTACAGATGCGACACAGGCTCTTAACTGATCTGTCCACGCTGCACCTGTCTCCAAACAACCTTTCTGTGTTCCCGGACCTAAGCTGCTGATGCCCGTAAACTGGGGCAACACAACAACGCCCGAAGATGAGAAGGCGGACGGGGCCTCTCCCACCTCCTATTCAGATCCCTGCCTTCAATTCCCACAGGCGCCACGATAGTCTCCGCCACTTCCGCCGAGATGCACCAGGGGGCGCACGACTAGCCGCGTCCCGCCCACCGCCCGTCAGGCACCAGATCCCGCACCGCCCACTCGCCCGTCAGTCACCCTGTCCCGCCACGCCCACCCGTTAGTCACCCGGTCCCGCCCCCACCTCCCGTCAGTCACCGGGTCCAGCCCCGCCCCCTGCCCGTCAGTCACCAGGTCTCGCCTCGCCCACCTGTCACATGGCCCCGCCTCCGCCCGCCCACCTGTCACATGGCCCCGCCCCCGCCCGCCCCATGCCCCGCCCCCGCCCGCCAATGCCCCGCCCATCAGTCACCTGGCCCCGCCCCCACCCGCCCGTCAGTCACCTGGTCCCGGCCCCGCCTCCCGCGGCTCGGCCCCCGCCGGCGCCCCGAGCGCCGCCAGCACGCCGTCCGGCGACAAGTCCACCAGCTCCCGCCACAGCGACTCGGTGTAGAAGTCCACCGTGTGCGCGCTGCAGATGGGCAGGGCTGCCCTCAGGAAGCCCAGCAGGTCCTGTAACGTGGCCCGCAGCGCGGACAGGTCCGGGCTGCCGGGGAGAGAGCAAAGCGCCGCCATGGCGCTCGCCCTCCAGGGCTGCAGGTGGCGCCAACGTGGCCGCGCCGCACCTCCGTTCGCGGGCCAGGCCGAAGCAGCCGAGCTCCGAGCACGCGCCGCTGGCGTGGGGCTGGTCGATTGCTTCGGCCTGATGACGTGCTAAGCCGGCGCCCGCCGTGGTTCCTGCAGCGCGAGCGGCGGGCGCGGGATGGCGCCGGCGGGGCGGTCTCCCGAGTGGCGGGCCCGAGGCCCGGCGGCGCGGGAGCAGGGGGCGCCTCGGGTCGGACCCCAGAGCCCAAGAGGGAAGCGCAGGGCCTGGCGGCCCCGCCACCAGCAAGCCTTCCCCGGCAGCGTCCGCGAGGGTACGGCGGGCGGCCGCGGTGGGGAGGCCCGGGCGCCAGCGCGCGTGCGTGCCGGGGCTGCCGGGGCTCAGCCGCGGGGCCGCTGCTGTCAATCTAACCCGAGGCACGCAGCGTCGGGTGCGCCCGTCCGTGTGCTGTCCGAGGCAGATTCGTACCTGTGCCGCAGCAAAGGAAAGAGGGACCGGGCTAAGCATGCACTGATAATCGCAGCGCCCCAGCCCCGTTCCCCTCTCTTCCTTAGATCCCTCCTTCTGTCTCTGTAAGGCCTCAGTCGCTCTTCACATGGTTGAGTGTTGTGTTGGGTCTGAAAGTAATCGACAAGATGTAAAGAAAGTTGTACGTTGTTGTCCCCTCTGGTGGTGTTGTGTCTTAATTTGGAAAATTAATGATTATTAAGTTCCTCTAGTGGAAAATCAAAAGTCTTCCCCACCCTACTTTTAATTATTTGCTGAGGACCCCCAGTGATGTTTTAGAGGGATGTAAAAAAATTTTAATTTGTGAATACGATTATAAATTCAAGTGGAGTTTAGCTTACTCTTTAGTTTTACTTTGAAGTGTTTTGTCTGTTTTGGTGGTGTTTGACAGTTGTTGGCCTTATATTCAGGCCAACTTGCTCCCCCAGTGCAGAAATAAATGTATTGACTAACCTAATCTTTAAAGCAAAACCAAGTAATTCTGTCATTTGAGTATAATGTTAAAAAAAAAAAAAAAAAGCTTCATCTCTAGTAACCTTTATCACTTTCTGTGAAAGTAACTGAAATCCTTCGATGTTAGGACAAGGTTTTGCATTTCGGAGGAAACTGAAGATCCAGCAGAATTACAAGAAATTGCAATGGAAGGTAAAGAAGGCACCAACGTCCCAGGAACCCCAGTTCACGGATCACTACCCAGACCATCTGAAACACCTCTATTTAGCTGAAGAAGAAAGACTCAGGAAACAGCGGAGAAAGGTTGGTCAGCCTCCATCAGAAGAACAAGTTGACCAGCCCGTGCCTGAAGAAGAATGTAACACTGAACAGACTTTGTCTGAAGAACAGTCTAGTGATTACCAGCCTCAGCCAGAACAGCTGTGTACACTAAAGTATGTACTTCCTTCCTTTGAAACTCAATGTTTTGTAGACGATACAGAGCAATATGGGTAAGAAATTAGAAATTTTCTTAACAAATTTTTGAAGTCATGCTGTAATGTTTTCACAATCTCATTCATTCATCTCCATATTTTTAACAGTCTAATATTCATCAGAACCTACTGTGCTTTCCGTGCTTAAATATTTGTTGAAAAATATCCATTTACCATCATCCTTTAATCTGTAATTGTAACTATAAATGTAAATGGGGTTTTAATGTCTTATTTGGGCATTTTCCTACTTTTTGCTGCTGTTTTTTCTCATGCTAACTTCAATTTGTATTAGTGACCTTTTTGTATATAAATAATGTATTTGACACAGTTGCATAATTTTGTCCAAATCATTTCTTAATGATTTAACTTGCATGTCTTAATTTCTCTTGCAAGTTCTGTCACGGTTCCCAAGAAAAAGAAAACTTCAAACCAAAAGGCACAAGAAGAGTATGAACGGATACAAGCAAAGCGTGCTGCTAAGAAATTCGTAAGTTCTACTTTTTAATTATTTAAGGTTTATTTTTCTTTATCTTTAACATGGGTACAAGACATATGTCTTAGTATTTAGGCCCATAATATTGTCTTCTCCAGTACTTTTTGTATTACTCAGCAGATTTGTAGAATTGTACAATATTCTAAGTCCTTGATTAGCTCAGACAATTCTACTAGGTCAGTGAAAAAATTCCAAAAAAAAAAAGGTTGCTTGTCAGTTAATAATACGAGCATCTAGCGTCTGTGATAATGTTTCTCAGACTGCAGCCTAGAAACTTAGATCTTCAATGAGTTCCTTGAAATAATCTGATATGCTGTGAATTAGAGGACCTGAGACCTAAGGGAAGTATTGATGGAGTAAAAACTCCAGAGGAAGTGTTGGGATAAAATACTCAGAAACAAAGCCATCTCCCATGCTGAGATATTTCCTCAAACATCTCCTTCCGTCCTTGCTCTGTGACCTTAAAAACTGCATCTGTGCAGGGTAGCAGTCCTTAGTCTCAAGGTTCAGGGTTTTAGGTTTTTGTCAGTTTGTTTTGTACTAAAGCTTAAGTAATGTGCCACTATTTCATCAAAATATCCCCAAAGACAGTACTGATATAATTTCATTTATACCCATTAGGATATGAATAAAGAAATTGGAGTTTAATATCTAAAATGCTTGTGATTATTCTGCAGCTGGTGACAGGGAGAGATGATCTCTATCTCATGTTAATACAAAAGCCAGTGACACTTTACCCATGAGATCAGAATTGTGAACAACTGGTTAAATAGAGCTGTAAATAAGAGTAATGACATAGGGGTAAACCAGGCAACCAGGCCAGGCAGCAGAACTCATGAATAAGTTTCAGTATTTTTTGAGGCAGGATTCACTGTGTAGCTCTGGCTGGCCTGGAACTTAGAAGATCTTCCTGCTTCTGCCTCCCCAGTGCTGGGATTAAAGACGGACACCACCAGCATACAGCTTCAGATCTCTAAGTACATATTAAAATAAATACTATGTCACATGTGAGCATTTGAATCTGTTTACAGCCAAGCCTGGCCACATAGTGGTCCCTGCAAGTTCTTCTTTATCACTCAGCTTGGTCCTTGTTTGTAAGATCAACAGGGTAGACTAGAAAAGTTTTTAGAGGAATGGAGTATACTGCAGTTTCTCAAATTGCATGTATGACTCTTTGCTAACTATAATTACGTGTAATCACAGTTGCGTGTAAGTCTAATGTGTTTCTAGTAGATCATTTGGAGGCTCCCTGAACTGGAGATAAGCACACTACAGTGCGGCTTCTTTTCAGCTGTTGTTTTAAGTTAGAATGTTGTAGTGCTTGTTTGATAGTGCATCTTCAGAACTGGTTACCAGTTTGAGTTACAATCTTCTGTATTTGAGTTTCTGTCAGAGCAACAAATGAGCACAATAGTGAAGCTCGTGGTGTCTGACTGAGGGTTTTACACTAGAGTAGTAAGTAGGTAGCCACCATTTTTAAATTAAATCTGTAAATTAGCTAAAGGACAGATAAAAACACGGGATACAGTTTTTTTTGGAAATAAACTTCAGTGTTACGCAGAATATTACACTAGTTAACCTCTGTCAGGGTCCCTCTAATTCTTATAGATTTAAACGGTGAAATTTCTAAAGAAGTATTTGACTTCTCTTTTAGTTATGTAACATTTGATATGAAAGCAAAGAGCTCACACTACTTCAGTTTTGGAAAATTATTCACATTTTATACAACAGAAGAGACAAATAGCAGTGGGTCTGCTATTGTGGTATATGACCTGTGTTTTCTGTTTGTGACAATGAACATTGTGTATGTTTATAATTGCAGGAATTTGAAACGAGAAAACGAGAACGAGAAGAGGCTCAGAGGCTCTACAAGAAGAAGAAGATGGAAGCTTTCAAAGTCCTGAGCAAAAAGACTAGAAAGGGCCAGCCAAACCTCAATCTACAGATGGAGTATCTTCTCCAGAAGATACAAGGGACCAGTTAAAGCCGTGTTAAATGCTGACTGACTACTGCATCTGCATCCGCATCCTCTTATGTGTGTATTGGCAGCACTGAACTGAATTTGCTGACGTCAGTGGATTAGTGAATTACTTTTTTGTTTTTGTAATACAAAAAAGTTCTCTATATTTTTTTTCCACAATGAATGACTTTATCCTGAAGAACTTTAAAAACCATCCATGGAAATTGTATGAAATAAACTGTTTTTGGAATAGGAGGCCCGAGCTGGCGGTGAAGCATTTCAGTGATGTGAACGAGTTTCAGTGCAACAGTCAGCTACGGCACTGGGGTCTTGCCTACTGAGAGTTGGGTGCTTGCTCTTGTCTGGCGGTTGTACTATCCCGAAGGTGCATTGTATCCCCTGGCAGTTTGTGGTAGGGTTTCAGCGTTGCTGCCACGTCTCAGGCTGGTCTCAAACTTGGGATCCTCTTGCCTCTGCCACGAGGGCACTACCGTGCCTGACAGGTTGAATAGTGTTTAAATTAAAGTCATTTTAATGGTAAAGGAAGGAATGACTCTCCTTGGAGTTTTTATTTGTAGTACCTGTTGCAGGAAAGTGGATTTTCTAGGCTATCTGAAAGTAGGTTACCTGGGCCCTAAGTTTGCACCCCATGATAAGATACACCTAGTAAGTACGGTTTATGAATTGAATTTCATAGGTATGTTCTGTTATGTGGAATTACTTTTGGTGTCTTAAGTGATGGGAGAAGCCCAGTATTTTCTCATTGTTAAGCTCCCCACATCCTTGAGGGGGACCCTGTACTTTGAAGGGTATTGTCACCATGTAATATTTTTGGTACCTTTGTGAGCTGAGAACCTTTCTGCTTTTAGTTGCAACAGAACAAGAAAGCCTTGTCAGCAAAAAAAAAAAAAAAGTGCACAATAATGGTTGTAAAACTGCGTGCCAGCAAGTATTCTAACATTGTGTTAAGGTTTTAGAGAACCTTTGCATGCTGCAGCCTTTCTCCTGGGTTACAATGACAGATAATTAGGAAATATGAAACTTGCTCTTTGCCTAGAAGAACAATGTTTAGAAGTTTATGATATTGAGATGCTATTGCACTTAAACAGCCCAGAAAGCCAAAATCTGATGAAGGAAGTGTGCACAGTGAACAATTCACTCAATCCCTCTCCTCAAATCTGTATTTTACATTCTTATCCTGACAACACATGAAGAGCTGGTCCCTTGAAGTGCATTTTACAGGACTGTTAAGGAGAGGTCTATATTTATTGTTTGCTTTCTTTTGTTTGTATCCTAAGGTGTTTTAGGGCAGAAAGCAGTTAACACCAGGATCAAAACAAAAGCTTTCAGACTTTGGTGTAAAAACTACATAGCTCATGTTGTTGGTTGGTTTTTACTCAGCTCTGTTTATGGGCCAGTTTTGCTTGATTTTAAATTATCCCGTTTTATCTTTTGCCTCTGGGCTTTTATCTTTCTCTATTGTATATACCTTTCTTCACTTTTTACTTCAAGGCTTATGTAGCAGGGTGGCTGGCCCCTAGTGTGCATTCTCCTATTTTTGCTTCTCCTTTTCTTTCCAGATTTCTCCTATTTACTCTGTCTGCCTGCCAGTCCCGCCTAGCCTTTCTCTGCCCAGCTCTCGACCATTCAGCTCTGTTAAACCAATCAGGTGCCTTAGACAGGTACAGTAACACAGCCTCACAGCGTTAAACAAATGCAACATAAAAGAATGCAATACATCTTTTTTGTAATCAAACATGTTCTACTGATAAATATAACACATCTTAAAATAATATTCCAGGACACCTGCAGGTTTGATAGTAGAGATTGGCTTGGTAATGGCTGTTGATTATTCTGCCACACTTAACCAAAGTCTCAGCCAAAATATCAAGGGGGAGATTTAGTGTGAAGAGATTAGGGGAGCTGGTGTGGGGGCTGGAGACAGAAGCTAGGGCCAAAGTGATTGGCTGTCTCAGTGAGGCTATGTAGGCAGATAAGAATTTTATGGGTGAAATATTTAAGAAAAGTATTCAAGGTTGTAAAAAAAACTACAGGCAAATGGAGCAGGAGGAAAATTACAAGGGAAAAAAGGTTTGAGATGTAGTGACGTATATAAAAATAGTTTCAGTGGGGTAATGTTTTCCCTCTATTCCTAATGGTTCCTCCCATACAGAGAAAACGTCATTGTCTCCATATTGACTGACTTGTTTGCCTTGGGGCAATATTGTAACTGTTTTATGTGTGAAAACATATAAACTGTTTTAGAGTACATACAATCTCCCTGTCCTCCCACCCCATGCTACTTGTTATGTGTTTGTATGTACATGTACACATCTGGGCATGTGTGTGGAGGTCTTCAATCACAACCTCATTGTTTGACACAAGAGTTTCTCATTAACCTGGGTCTTTCTGTCTCTACCTCCCCAGCACTTGGTTATTAGGAATGGCATTCTGGACTTTGGGGAACCCCAGCTCAGGTCCATATGCTTGGACAGTAGTGCCTCAGTCATTTTAGTGACTGAACTGTCTTCTGAGATGGGTTCTCATGCTGTTTTGCCTAAGCTGGCCGTAATTAAGTGCTCCTCAGATTCTTGTACATTAGAACCTGGGCCCCATGCTTCTCTGCATGGACTGCTCTCTCTTGATGTCCTGTTACATCTGGCTATTTCTATTCTGGGGCTTCAAAATTTGATTAATATGACTAGAATATTTGTATTTCATTAAATGAGCCTTGTAAAACCACACTAACACCATTCCAATATCCACTTAAATCTGAATAAAAGCCAGCTATAAGTATTTATTAGAATAATGGTGGATGTATCTGAGACTTCGAAATACTCTTAAATTTTCAGGTAAGTAACCGGCTTATCAGAGAAGAAGACTCATGCTCAAGTCACGGTGTTCTGTCAATTTCCTGAAGAAAGACACAATGCATTTTTCTTTAGTAAATATGGACACAAAAGTAGTTGACATTTTTTTTATTTTAAAAATTTTAGTGTGCAGGGATGGTTATACCATGTTTTTGGAATTCCCTTCATGTTTCTTTTCATTATAAATGATTTAAACAAAAGGATTCAAAGTGTGTTTTCAATCTACTTCACTTGAACATTGTGTAAGGAGCTGGCTCATAGCATGTGTGGCTGACACATTGCCATGCTTACTTACTCTAAGATATGAGAAACTCTACATACGTCTTTTCAAAGTTAGCTGAACAGGGATATAACAACTCTAGAGAAAAGTCTTAATGTTGTCCAAAGCTGAGGAAATTATTTGGATCTCCGTAAACGTGGACACTTTCTGCCCTGCAAAAAACAGGCTACATTTCTAAAAGACTGAAAATTTTAGAAAGACTGGTGATTAAAGCATAAAATAAATAAATAAATAGTACCCACTTAAAAATTAGTTACTCCCTTCAGGAACTTTCTAAGATGGCACTTCTTAAGCCTCCGCATAGACCCAAATTTGAAGAAGCCTTTTTTTTTTTTTTTTGCCTTTGTTTTCCTCTTCAGAAACTTCCAACTTGGAGTGCCTCTTTTGTTTAAAAAAGAAAAAGGAAGAAGGTGCATGGTGAGTAGAAACCCAGCAGAAGCTTTCTGCTGCCTTTTAGGGCACGTCCCTTCAGTCACAAAGGCCCACCTTTCACGGTTGCGAAAGTTGGCTACAGCTGAAGCATTTGAAGCTTCTGCTAATATGGTGTTTGTAGGAGGGCTTGCTGACTTGGGTTTGCAATCCCATCTACTCAGCTCAGGCAGCAGGCCTGTCTGCTATAGAGTGAGTTGTATTGTCCATTAATCATCACTGTTCAACATTGTGCAAATCTCCCTGCCAAAACTGGATTTCCTCTATGAAAACATTTGGCTATAGCAATAACTCAAAAGTTCAGCACTCCCAAGTAAGATCTTACTTTAAAAGAGACACTATCATCTTTTGTTGTATTCTTTGAAAATACAGTCATCTAGACCACTCCATTCTTTCGTGTCCAATCTTCCAGGGTGGCTGAACTAACAGTCTTGACTCTATTAAAGTCTTGACTTTATTAAAGATAAGAGATGAAAAAGTAGTTATGCTCTAAGAATTGCTCCTGATTTGGATATATTCTGAACATTGGAAAGATTTAAGACTCCTTCATACTTTTTGACTACCGCTCTGACCATCTGGGCAGCAACGAAGGCATGAACCCCAAAGGACCTGGAATGAAGGACAGGAGAAACTGGGTGCAAGACAGACTTTCTGATCAAGCTGCAAAAGTTTAAAGCATGTGATATAGTGGTTAGGGAGGGGAAGGTGGATAAGGTGGGGAATCAGAGGCTGGGAGGTCACTGGTGTTCATTACAGGTCACTGAAGGTGAGCAGGATATGCAGATAAGAACATTGTTAGCAGGGGAAGGGGTATTTGGAGTTGCTAAGTAACTGCATAAGGAGGGAGGGGGTACCTAACTGCATTCCTGCAAGCCCTAAATTCTCAGGAAGTTGGGGAGGGGGAGAAGGTAGATTGGAACTGAAGGTAGCAACCTTCTAATTCAATGGGCTATTCTGAGAAAAAGCTGGCAATCTCTAAGGCTTATGCCATGATCGCTCCCGGCATACTACCAGTAGAAAAGATCAATAGGTAGTGGAAGCTATTAAAAACCCCAAGTTTATGAAGATAAAAGTAATATGAGGTGAGAATAAGTGTGAAAATAGGTACAGGGGGATGGAGGGGAATAGGGTTGGAGATGAGGGTGAGGAAGTGTGCATGGAAATTCACATGGAAACCTTTTACTTGTAGTTAAAAAGCTTAAAACTAAATATAAAAGCAGGTAAAATGTTGTGTTCGTGAAAACTTGGACAGTGTCATTTCTAGGGTCTCACTCTTTCTTTTGCTTATGACTGGAGTGACACAAAATGTGAGGGGATGGATGTCTTAGGGTTTCTTTTATTGTTCTTTGTTGTTTTGCTTTTTGTTTTGTTTTTCAAGACAGCATTTTCTTTAGCTTTGGAGCCTGTCCTGGAATTCACTGTATAGACCAAGCTGGCCTCGAACTCACAGAGATCTGCCTGCCTCTGCCTCCTTAGTGCTTAGTTCGGATTTGTACTTCTGTGAAGAGATACCATGACCACAAGTGTTTGTTTGTTTTTTGTTTTTTTTCGAGACAGGGTCTCTCTGTGTGACAGTCCTGACTGTCCTGGAAACTGCTTTACCAGGTTGGGGTTGGACTCACTGAGATCCACCTGCCTCTGCCTCCCAAGTGCTGGAATTAACGGTGTGCACCATTACGTATAGGGAACTCTTATAGGGAAAACATTTAATTGAGATGGCTGGCTTACAGTTTCAGAGGTTCAATCCATTGTTATCATGGCAGGGAGCATGCTGATTTGCAGGCAGACATGCTGGCTATATCTTGATCAGAAGGAAACAGGAAGTAGACTGAGACACTGGACAGTATCCTGAGCATAGGACACCTCAAAGCCTACTTCCTCCAACAAAGCCACACCTCCCAATAGTACCACTCCTTATGAGATGATGGGGGCCAGTTACATTCAAACTACTGGGGAGGGGAGGG